AATCTCAGAGGAATTTGACTTCTATGCTGAATAAAAATCCTGACCCGCTTGAAAAGCAGGTTAAGTACGCCGAGTTGAAATTGGCCGGTTTTGTTGCTGCACACGACGAGTCTTTTCTGAAGATGGACCATCTCACGGATGTGTTAAAAGACATTTTCCCTGATTCGAAAATTGCCAAGGGCCTCTCTCTGAAACGAACCAAAACACGGGGATTAGTGGTGAATGTGATTGGTGAAGCTGAAAAAGAAGAACTCGTAGCTACTTTGAAAACCACTAAGTTTTCAATCTTGACCGACGAGTCAACAGACATTTCAGCTGTGAAGACGGCAGCTATCATGGTTCAGTATTATTGTCCTGTTGCAAAGGGCATCGTCGTGCGCCATTGGGAACTCGACGACATTTTCACTGAAGATGACCCAGAGGGCGCGGCGATTGGGGCGACTGCGGAGGCGCTTTTTACCAAGTTGATGGCTACTTTTGAAGCAAAAGCTATATCTGTCGAGAATACAATTCCAGAAATTCTTTGAATTAGACATCCACAAAATTCTGCATCCTAGCCAGACTCGCTGGTTGTCGCTGGCTGCTGTTGTTAGTAGAATTCTGGAGAACTGGGAGGCTTTGAGGCTCTTCTTTATTGATCAATCCCTGACTGCTCGTCTAAAGGCAGCGGACAATATTGTCAGCCACATGAGAAATCCTTCCATCAAGTCCTATTTCCTCTTCCTCAATTGGGTACTTCCCAAGGTTACTGGGTTAAATGAGTACTTTCAATCTGAGAAACCAACTATCACTATAATCCACAGTAAGATGGTTCAAGCGTACCAGGAATTTCTCTTGATGTACATGCAAAGAGAATTCGTCATGCGCACCCCACTGCATCTCATCAACCCGGCGGACGCCTCCAGATACATCCCCACCAGCAATATGTACCTGGGCGTCGACGTCAGCGAGTACTTGCAGAGTCCAGCCGTTGCAGGGAATCCACAGATGGTACAGGACATCCTGGTACGCGCTCAGATGTTCCTGGTGACCCTGTGCACTAAAATAAAGGAAAAGTAAGAATCAACAAATATACATTAAAATGCACGAATTTTAGTTTTAAAACAACAAGTCTGATTTTCTTACCCTTTTTTCAGGTACGACTTCAACGACCCTATCCTGAGCAGAATGCGTGTGCTGAACCCCGAGGCTGCTCTATCTCACAGGGAAAGGGACACAACTCCGAGCATAGCGACATTGTGCTTTCTCTTACCTCGCTGCGTCTCCAGGGACCAGGTGCAGGCTGTAGACGACGAGTGGCGGCGGCTCCCTCTCCTAGCCCAAGACCTCCCCGACGTGGTGAAGTCTATCCAAGAGGTG